TAAACTTTGAAACTTTAAATTTTGAAGGAATCACAACATCTAGGACCAAACAAAGGTCAACAGTATCCATGGAGCCATAAAAATCTATTCCTTCAATAGCTCGCAACCTTTCTTTAAGCATGTTCATCTTGTAACAGCTTTTGAATCTTTCAAAACTCAACCGTTTTCATTTTCTTTTTTGAAATATCCAAATTAAGAACTTGGACCGATTCAACTACCTTTTTAGTAAGGCCAATGTTATTATAGCTTTGGACATTCTATTTGCTAACTGTGGGCAACATTTTTATGTAAGTATAGTTTGTCAAAAATGTAAATTATTGTGATGATAGGCTTAAAGCGGACTGAGCTTGAGGTGGGCTATAACTCGAAAGATACAATAGATCAAAAAATTCATACGAAACATCTTCATTTATCGTCTTTCCCTTATTCAGCTTACTCAAAGCTTTAAAGATCTTGCTAAGTTTTCTATTGATTTTCTCTTGAGCTTTTTTAACTTTTCAACATGGCTTGCATTATCTTGTTCCATTCTTCTAGCTTAAGCTCGGATATTGTACTTATGGGGAATTGGTTGAACTATCTTTGATCTTAATTTTTCATAATTAAGGTATAGATTTGGAGTGATGTTTATATGACCATCAGATTATGCATGAGACTAAATGCAAAAATGCATGAATTCGATAAGGAGTATTTAATGATGTCAATACATGTATATACAATAAAAGAAAATGGTTAGTAAAAAAGGATATATGAGAGAATAATATATGCAAAAAATAACATAAAGGATTAGTATGGAAATACAAAGAAAATATATAAATTTACAAGCAAAATAAATGTTCCATCATATGTCCTATTTGGGATTTTCTAACACAAGAGAAGACATGACTCTAACCTAAGTTCGGACCTTTAAAGTGTATTTACATGCTAGCTTCAAAGATTTGACAATCTAAGGGTTCTTAAATTGTTTCTTACATCATTGTCTATTATAGACTAATAAAGCACCCTAATTTTCACCCATTATAGGCTACAAGCAAAAAAAATTCAATTTGAGTAAGAGTTTTTTGCTAGCCCATGCGGAGACATAAAATCTCACGAAGGTGTAGGTACTTTACTCTCTCATAAAGAATGAAACTTGGGTATAGAGCTTACGTTATACATATACAAATGAATAACAAATAAATAAAATGAATAAACAAACAAATAAATAAAATACAAGCAAGAGAAAAAATCTTAAATTTATTAAGTTAGGCTTGGATAATAAGAAATTATTTATTGGCTTGACTCTCGATGTTCCCAACGGAGTTGCCAAATTATCATAACGTATAGATCCGTGGATCCATCATTAGATATAGACTTTAGAAGTCACCATCAATCTTTTTATTAAGTATGATTGATCACCTGATCGAATTTGTCCTATTTAAAGAAGAGTCTCAAAATTGACTTAAGTATCTTTAAATAGTATATTTTAGTCTATAAAACTAGATTTTAGATTTAAGAGTATAATTATACATAAGAAAAGTTATAGCACCCTCATAATACACATCCAAAGGATGATATTAGTTTGATTTCAAATTATCCAAGCCTTAACCACATTTATGTTTTACCAAAATATTTAATATTAAAAATTAATCTTAAAATTACTCCAATAGTTTAGTAGCAATTTAAGATAATTATTTCACTTTAGTAATATTTATGGAGACTAGTGTCTTACTCTAAAAAAGCTTTGTTATCGAATTTATTTAAATTTTATTTAAAGAAATAATCAGTAAAATCTTTCAATAGTTTGGTAATATTTACTTTGATGCAAATCTTCCAATAGTTTCGTGAATTGTTATTGTAAAATTAAGTGTGAAATTTATTTTAAGAAAATTCATTAAATCTTTCAATAGTTTGATAAGATTTAATTCAATATTTAAATCATCTTTAGGGTGGTAGGATTTATATTTTAAAATTTTTAAATCCATAATCATCCTCCAATAATTTGACAGAATGTATGAATTTAACAAAACATTTTCAAACTAAGTAAATAAATATAAAAAAATACATAAAAATATAGTTTACCAAAATTTGACTAGGTCAAAAGCTTAGAACACAGCTCAACTCGATGGCTTGGCTTAGTTCCTCTATCAAAGGACCTCAGCTTGCACCTTACAGCTTGCTTAAATGATTTGGCCCCTCTTTTAATCAAAACGATGTCATTTTAATATATACATATAACAAAAAAAGAATCAATTTTTCTTCATTTCCTTTTGGCTCTTTATCTCTTTTATTTTATATATTTCCAGAGCTTTTTTCTCCAGGAAAAAATAAGAGCTACTGGACACTCAACAACCTAGAAATTGATGAACAACCACCATTACTACCAACACAGGTCATTGTCGACCAATGTTCGTTGACTGTCCGTCGGTGGCTGAAATTGTTCTAAAAAAATCTCCACGAGCTCGCCTCAACCTCCCCTTTTACGTGTTTTGATTGGTTTTTACAAAAGCTCTCTAGATCTCCGTAAATTTTAGCTTGAAGTTATGGTTTAACTTCTCCTTTTTCATTGCTCCAATGGCTGCCACCTTTAGGTATGTTGTTGTCCTCACTTTTGTCTATCTTTTCACTATGTTTGGAAGCTTGAAACCCTTAAAGGACGACTAAATCGAAAACAAAAAAAAATTTACTTTTTTACTTTTGTTTCTAACTTTGTTTTTTTTTTTTTTCAGTTGATATAAAGTGGTTGTTTTGTAAGAGATTGAGGATAATGATAGGGTCTGGTTAAGCAAAGATTGGTGGTTTGATTCGTTGGGTTTAGTTTTAGTTCTTGTGGGTGTTTGTGAAATTGTTTGTAGGTTTTATAGAATTTTGATTAGGTTCAACTGAGATTTAAAGGTGTTGGATCCAATGATAGGTTTTGGGTAGGGTTAGATTTGTGGTAGTGATAGCAATGGCAGTTGGTTTGTGTTTTTGTTTTTATTTTTGGCTCTGGTTATTAAGTTGACTATGATGAGAATTTTGGTGATGGGCTATTGATTTCCTAAACAATGTGATGGTGAGGCATCGAGTACTGGTGGGAATGGCAATGGTGAAAAAATGTGGTGGTTTTATGGGTTGATGGAAGCCCAATCAGTTAGTGAGTCTTGAGCCATCCTTTTCTCTACTTTGATCACAAATTTATAAAAAAAATTCATGCTAAATTAATTTTCCTTAAATTTGTGATTTGATTTGATTTGATTTAATTATGAATTACTTTTTCAATGACCACATGAATTTGGCACCCAAAATTTCCTACCAAATTTTTAACTTTTTTTTCAAGCTTTATTTATTTATTTATTTATTTTATTTATTTTATTTATTTATTTAGACTTTTTGAAACAAGTAAAATTAAGCAAAAACAAATAAATCAAATTAAAATTAAAAATTTCTTATTGGGCTAAAAAATTTAGAGGTTAAGGTTTAGGTATTGAATTTGGGGTTTAGGTTTAAGGGGAATTCTTTTTTTTTTTTTTGGGTTTAATTTTTTTTTTTTACTAATCTAATTTTTTTTTCAAAATTTTTACCTATATAAATAATCCATGTCATGTTTACATGTCATTTTGTATCCACGTGGTGGATTTTTATTGGCTAATATAGCTAAGTCAGCATCTAGGCTAATGAAGTTAACTTTTGGACTAAATTAATACACGATTTCATAATTTAGGTACTTAATAACTTTTTTAATTTAGGTACTAAATTCAATAAACTAAAATAGTTTAGGGGCCATTTAGGATATTATCCTTTGTATAAATTATATAAAATTTTTGTGCTACTTATTATTTAAAAAAGAATTAATGTTATGAATAGATCTTGAACTATAGTAAAGTATTTAATATAATATTTAAAATTTAAAATTTACTAATGTGATACTGAATTATAAATATATTGACTAATGTGATATTTAAAATATTGTTTATTCGTCATGTATCATCATTTAAAGTTAATCACATTAAGGATGAGTTTTATATTAATTATATATTCATGGTTCAAGTATCATATTGAATATTTTATTATAATTTAAGAATTATTAAAAAAATTAACATTTTAAAAAAGATATGTAAAATAAATTTTTTTATATGTTTGACTTAATACTATTTAATTAAGAATGTAAATTAAAAGAGTATGAATAAATTATATTTTATTAATGATATATTAATTTAATTAAAAATTTTAAAATATTATTTATGATCATTTATCAAATTTAATAAATAAAAAAAATCAATTTTTTTATATATTGTTTGTTGAATGTTTTAGTCGTTTACATCATCAAATATAAAAAATTAAATATAAATTAATTTTTTTATGTTTAAGATCATTTATTAAATTTAATAAAAGAATAAAACTTTAATTAATTTTTTAAAAAATTTTTTATTTATTTGTACCTTTAATCTCAAGAAAAAATAATGAAGTAATTTAATTATATTAAAGTAAACCACACGCTAAATCACTAATTAGCAAATTAAAATTTGGCAAATGGTCAAGGAACGTGGGTTGAAATTTTGAGAATTAGGTAAGAAAAAAAAGGAAAAGGAAAAGCAAATAAAGAAAAAATCGTACATTTTGTAGCTGTGACCTAAGAAGGATGATCTCGTCATTGTCAAAAAAGTAACGACATTGACGTCATCACGCCGTTTAAACAAAATTGGTCCGCCTTTTCTTTCCGTTAACTCGCTCACATTTATCTTTAAAAATAAAACCCCAAAATATATAAAAATAAAAAATAAAAAATAAAAACGTTTTAGCGGGAGAAGGAAAACGACGTTTCTTAGACACCTCCAATTTAAAAAATAAAAATAAAAATAAAATTTTATTTATTTATTTTTTTGGTTTAATCCAAAATTTTTTTTGGCATCGTTGCTCCATCTATCTCTTACTACTAACACGGTGGCATATATCTCCTTTCAAAGTTCACTTCCTCCCAGGGGAAAAGGATTTTTTTCTCTTTTTTAGAGCTATTCTCTCAGTAAGTTCTTTCTCATATGCTTTTAATTTTTTATTTTCCTTTATATTTTTTGAATGAAATAAGGATCTCTATGTTTTGGTTTTTATTGATTTAAGTTAACTTCATGAACTTTATTCTTTTGGGTTTTGATTTATCTGTTGGTTTAATGTTTTTATTTTCTTGATTTCTGCCAACAGTTTGTTTGAGGTTTCTGTTTTGTTTCATTTGAATGATCTGTTTTTTTCTTTTTCTTAATTGCTCTATTTGTTTTCATTACTATTTATGAAAGGTTTTTGGAATAAGAAAGTGAATTAAGGATCATAATTCAAGCTATGTATGTGCATGCATGCATGTATGTGCGCGTATGGATGATTGTGATGATGATCAGGACAAGACATGATATGATCTGATGTGTCTGTTCTTTTACTGTTGGTCATGTTCTTACTGAATTGAGATTTCTTTTTAAATGTTTTGCCTTTTAAGCAAGAACCGCTCATTTTACTTGTTCCTCTTTTTTCCTTTTTTTTATATTTTAATGCACAAGGCATGTCTTTAGATATTGATTTTCTTTATTTTTTTCCTTTTTTAATTTATATATTATTGATTAATATAAGATAATAAAATTAACAGAGATAAAGTTTTGGAACTGATTTCAATTCTCTTAAGGGGATGGACATATGCTCTGTTTTATTGTTTTTGTTAATTACTTTTTTTGCTTCAAGAAGCAAAAAATCAAAAGCATACACAAGAATAAACAATATTTTTGATGGATTAAATATTAGAGATGTAATCTTTTTTTTTAAAGCAATATATATGATTATAATTTACTTTCAATTGATCTTATATTTTAGTCATTTATTCATGTTTAATCTTTTTTTTTTGTTTAACGATAATTTTTTTTTGTTTATAGCAAATTTAGTAGAAAAATTTTTAAAAAGGAACAAAAGTAACAATCTGATAGAACTTTCAGCCTCGTTAAAGTTGCTAGCCAATTTTATAGGATTTTCCCAAAGGCGATTACAGAATTAGAGTCTGATGTGTTGAGATATTTTTGGTACATAACCTAAGGTCCATAAATGGTTAGAAAGAGAGGTCAGGAATACACAAATATCAATTCAAATAGTATTCAAGATCAAGAATTGAGCAGCCATAGGTTTATGTACAAAAATATCTAGTATATCTTGTATTGGACACTTTAAAGATGGAAACTTAAGTATGTTTTTTATTGCAGATTGGCTTTCATCTTTTGCTACTTGTAGAAAAGGGTAACTTTGTTTTTTCTTTTGACAACAACATCAAAACAAGCCTCTTCCCACTTTGCAGTCAGCTATAAGGGCCCTTTCTTTAAAGTTGTTTTTGTGAAAACCTCATTAATATAGGAAAGTAATGTTAAAGAAGTACAAAAGAGTAGGATAGTGTGAAGCCAATCAATAATGAATAGCATATTCTTTTCTAATTCGTAGTCACTAATCGAGCTTGTTTATAATGCTAAACGAGGGTTTTGGCTATGTAGGCAAGCTTGAAACTAAGACTCAGCCTAGCTTGTTTATTAAGTGCATGACCATAAATTTCAAGGGAGTTGGGTCTTTTATCTTTTTGATAATTACTTTGGAACATGTCTTATTTCTCGGGAATAAAAGAAAGAAAAACAAAAATATTTTAAAGTTTTTAGTTGCATGAGTGAATAACTTCATCATCACAGTTAAAGTCCAATGAATACAAGAAAGACTACATAAATAAATAATTAGTATTTGGGAATGTTTTATAATTACTGCCCGATGGAGTTTGTCTACACTCTTTAAAGCTTTTAGACAAAAAATTAAGTGTTTTGGCAGTGTTTCTTTTCATATGAAAAAGCTTGATAAGAAGGCTCAACCAGCTTCTTGAATACTTTGTTAAGTGGGGATCAAGCTGCTCATGTAACTTTCCTCCTTTTACTTGTTTATTTTGCTATTTGCTTTTTGTAATTTTGAAAGTAACAGAGGAAAAAAGTTTGTGTAGATAGAAAAGTAGTATTTTGAATTATTTAAAATCGAACTTACACTTTTTGTGAATAGCACAGTGTACAATTTTACTCATACATTGAACAACTATATATTAATTTTGTCACATTTTAGCAATTTATTCATTTTCAATCTAACATGATTTTGCTATTTACTAGTTTTGCTTTTTAGCAAATTTTAAGGGAGAAAAAAGTCAAGTAGCAAAAGTAACAAGCAGCATAGCATTAGTTAACTTGCATCTCTAATTGTAATCTGTACACCTTTAAAAATTGGTTTTAAGAATCAGCACCTTTCTGAAGCTCCCTAATGTGTCTTTGATATATGTGCCCAAAGGCGTTCATGATCTACTGCACATAAATACTTGTGGTTATATATGTGTTTAGTTCCTCTCATTTGTTTATAAGAAATGAAAAGAAATAAGGGAGAAAAACTAGATACATACACAAGGCAAAAATGATTTTATATTCCTCATGTTATGCCTGCATTAACTCTGCGGTTTCTGAATCTCAAATTATCTTTGTATGTTTTGATCTGTGAGATTTCTTTTCTTATGTAATGTTCTGCTTAGGCTGCTTCCATCTTTGCATATCAAAGAGTGTGGTGTATTTTTCCTTCCTACGTGAGATTGACTTTGTATGCATTTTTTGGTGAGTGTTCTATCTACCTGCGCTAAGATAGACACATATATTCACATCGCTATGATATGCTTTTGTTGGGTATATTAATAGTTGCAATTGTTGACTTAAAATTTCTTTTGTTTGCATAACCAAGCAATTGGCCAGGTTGTTGTAGATTTTAGACTTTGGAAGCATGAACCCAAAACCAGATGGTACAAACCACCCAGAAACTAATGCAAATAACAATAAACCACCAACAGTTCGGTCTCAACCTTGGTGGTGCAGCACACGGCACGATTCCTTCTTAACAGATGTTTTAGGAGAAAGCAGTACAAGCTTATCTCCAGCCAAACACCCAAACGGAGGTTTAGATGCCAAAACAAGTGAATCTCTAAGCGTCGATGGGATTGATGATAAAATTTGTTCTAGTAAAGAAATGCCTTTAACTATATTGTCCGATCCAGGTAATGCGTATGCTGTTTTCTACAACATGTCTGCTATATGTGAGTGATCTTTAACTGCAATCTTAGTTTATGGAGTTTAAGAGTGTGATAAAAAAGGGTGGCTCAGTCCTCCACCTCTTGGTCTAGTGGCTAAAGAGGCTTTATGAGGACATAGAGGTCCTGGTTTTGAGCCAAGATCTCCTCCCTTTTCCCCCTTGTAAGAGCTATGCCCTCCCTGAACAAAAAAAAAAAAAGTGGCTCCGTGCCTTGCTTTAAGATCATGATAAACAATAATTCAATATGCCATTTGTTGCCAATTAGCTTCCTGAGCTTTAAGATCATGATAAACAATCATTCAAGATGCCATTTGTTGCCAATTAGCTTCCCATCTCATTAAAATGAGTTTTGGAGAACTTGATGCATAACTTGCTTGATATTATATTTCTAGAATGTTTCATAGAATCAAAACATCGGTGAATTCGCCAAGTTGGGGAAATAATTTGATTTCTAAGACTCTGCAGTTCCTCTCTCTCTAACCAATGATTAGAAAGACCTTGGTGGACACATTAACTTCGTAATAATTTGGCATGTCTAACACACTGTCAACACACTGCATGCAGATTCATGCAACACGCACATGCCTTATAAAATCAAAGTATCACAATATTTATATGATTTTGAAGTAAAAAAGATGTAATTCTTGCATGTGATAATTTTCAAGGCATAAAATTTACTTCATAAATGTACTTAAGTTGAAGTTATGTGATTTAAAAGACTTGAAAGTGTAACTAATGTACTGCAAGGCAGGTTTCAATGAGACCTCGAAAGAAGTCATTAAGCAGTTAAACTTCTGCGTGGTGTTGAATTGCACTCTTTTAACTAACATTTCTATAGCCAAAGTGCCATAGCAGCACTCTTGGTTGTCTTGGCAATCAATTGCCGTCTTTTCTCTGATACTTTTTCACTTTAACAATTGTGAATTTTCAGTCTGTTTTTGCACATCATGGTCATATGCTCTCAAGCTAATGAAGGTTTTTCTTTTATGAAAAGATGGAAAATGTGGATATGAACAGCCATATTTACAGCATGCTATACCCATTATACATCCAACAATGGGTGAATATGTAGCACCACCAACCCAGCTGGAGCTTGTTGGCCACTCAATTGTAATTTTTCTTTTCGTCTCTCTTGGGAGAATGTGAATTCACTTAAGTACATGCGTGCTTTTATCCTTATTTATTGCTGTTGTGGTAGTAATTGCTTACATATGAAAATAAGAATTTGCATCTCGTATGATATTAAACTGTTGGATGTATGTTTTGAGGGCTATGTTTGATAGGAAGGATAGAAAGGTGGAAAGAGAGATGTACTCTGATCCAATGGTTAAACCATCTCATGTTTCTCTGTATCCTAATTATTGGATCCAGAAACCTATATATCTGCCTTTCATTTTTTTATGCTAAGTGCAATGACAAAATTCTAAGTGGAAAACTCTTTTGCAGGCATGTCTATCCTATCCATATGCAGATTCATATTATGGGGGAGTGGTGCCTCCTTATGTACCTCAATCTTTGGTATGCACTGATGTAGTCCACTATTCACCTTAAATCGTTTTTATCTTCCTACTTGCTTGGTTTTGCATGGAATGCTAGTTATATTTACCTTTTTAAGGGTTTAGAAATTTATTGGCTGTGAAGATAGTTGTAGCTCCATTTAATTGTTTTTACACTGTTAAAGCACATGAATATGTATAAGCCTAGTTATTTTCCCCATTATTATATGCATGTACAAGGCTTGAAAAGTAAGAGTTGAAATAAGGTTACAGTAAAACAGCAAAAATTTTCTCATTTAAGGTTTTCAAGAGCGTAGGGAACAAGAAAGGAAGCACTGTCAGTAAAATTTGAACTGGGAGTTAGTGCATGAATTGTTATTTCTCTCTTTTTTTGAGGCAAAAAAAAAAGGGAAATTTTGGAGATTAGGAATTGCTCTTTCAGGAAAGACTTGTTATTTTTTAGTTGCACTAATGAATAAGATTCTAAAAATAATATGAATAAATTATGGACAGAGCAGAACTCCCAACATGTATATTTTTAATAAGAATGCTCAAGACATCATATTTCTGCCTTCTATAAGCATTTTGTTAAAGAAAAATTATTTGATACACTGACAGTAGAGTTTTGTAACTCTACAAGCGGAGTGGAGATGGTGACACATGTTTCATTTTTTTTAAAATTAATTTTTTTAAATATATAAGGGACATGTGTCACCATCTTAATCTCTTATGTGGAGTTAAAAAAACTCCACTGTCAGTATATTTAATAATTTTTCTTTGTTAAATATTGTTATATCTTTTTATAATGGACACGTTTCTTTTACGGCAACAAGATATGCACCTTTCTGGTATGGATACCATGTCTTCATATACAATCAATAAGAACTTCACCATTCTCTCTAAATAAACCCTCAAGATGGTATTGCAACAGTTCAATAACTCTTCCACGACCAGGATAAATTCTACATTTTGTTCTTTATAAAAAGAATTAAATAACTAATGGTTTTGAGTATTTATCGTTAGCCTGGTGATATGACATGATAGAAGGAAATAAGTGAAATGAAATAGTCTTGTTTTGACAGAAGTTGCAGGATCAAGCACAAAAATCTGGTTGAACATAGAATTCTTGTTAAGATTGTTAGTAGCTCTTGATATGAGAAGAGTGGAAGGCTTCTGTATCTGGCTCATAATTTCACCTGGATAATATATTACTAATAAATAATAGAATGTCCATATCATTGTCTAAAATGATGAAGTTAAAAGTAAAAATTGTTTGTCAATCATCACTTGTCAAGGTAGGATTGTCAAATGCAAATTGTCTGAAAAGGAAAAGGAATTTATATTCGAATTTTGGATTTAAGATTACACATAACACCAGGTAATATATACAAAGAAAGCAATTTTAGCCGTCATTATAGTATATGAATGGTTTGTACATAATACTTGCATGTGTGTGTGTATATTATGTTTGAATAGGAAAATAATGGCTACAATTTTTTATTGTAGAACAATATTTGAATCTTCTCTTTAAAATTGTAGTAATAATTTTTTATTGCTCGATGAGAATTTTGTGAGGAACTATGAGATAGGGCATGGTGGTTGAGGTGAAAACCAATTATGGGTATTGGCAATTTCTGCCTACATTTTATTTTATTTGTTTTAATTCTCTTTTCGATAAAACTAGAAGCATTATGTTTATCTAGTGTTTTATATTTTTTGTGTGCGCTTCAGTTTGAAGGTGCTGCAATTTATAAACATCTAGTTAAATATTTGAGAAAGTAATTTTGTAGGTTCTATTAGTGTCTTAGTTTTATATACGTTCTTAAAAGCTGAAAAACTGTTAATGAACAATTTTGTTAAACGGATGCAAATACAATATGAAATATGTTTGTGACAATTATTGAAATATCATTTCAGGTACATTCTCAATGTCTTGGAGTGCATCCTGCTAGAATGGCATTGCCTCTTGAAATGGCAGAGGAACCTGTTTATGTGAATGCCAAGCAATACCATGGTATTTTAAGACGAAGGCAGTCACGCGCAAAAGCTGAGCTGGAAAAGAAACTGATCAAAGTTCGAAAGGTATTTTTTTGTCTGGATATAAGCATGGACATATGATTAGTTAATTTGTCAGTGTATTGCATCATATTTCATTTGGTTAGTACTATAGTTCAGTTGTAGATTCTTTTCTTCATTGTACATGATGCTTCATAAGATTTTTAGATTTTGCATAGGAAGCATCTCGGCATTTGCAATTGCAGAGTTGCATTTCTAAGGCAGTCTGTTACAATCTCAACGAAGTTCCTCTTGCATGTGATAAGTGAATTAATGAGGTACTGTAGTGGCTTGGAATTTTCTGCTGCTTGTTTTTTGTTCCTTATTGAGATTAAAACTATAAAGAAAAGGAAAATGGAAAATGGAAGCAGTTTGAGTCTTGTGAAAAGCAGGCAAATGTTCCTATCGTTTAAAATTCAAATACATGCTTTAGGCATAGATGGAAAATAGGGGGACCATATCTGGTGGGCCAATGATACCAAAATCTCTCAACTTGGTACTTAAGGAATGATGAAAACATTGGACTTTTATTGGTAATAGTTTGGAAGAGATAAAGTACTGTTACTTGTCTAAGTTACAAAAGTTTCTTGTATAATAATTGTCGAGACTCAAAGAGTGTCTGAAGCCTTGAGCACTGCTACCTGTGTCGTAAAGAGTGGTAGAGTACACAATCTACGCAATCTTGAAGAGAGGAGATGACTACATAAAAGCAATGAAGTTGCTTCCTGCTAACAATGTTAAATATATGTTAAGAAAGTTTTATATTTCATAATGGCAAATCATCATTCTGACAAATATAACATGAAAGTAATACCTTTATGGGTGAAAGACTTCTCTATGCACATATTGTTATCACATAAGATTGGTACTTGAAACTAGTACCTTATGTGTGAAAAACTTTTCTTTGCGCGTTATTTCCACATAATGTAAGGAATGTCAAAACTTCTTTTCATGCAAGATTATATTCTACTAGTTTCATCACTATTTGTGTTTCATTTGCATTTACAAGTTTTATATGGCGTCTACTGTCATGTTTTCCAGCCCTATCTTCATGAGTCTCGACATTTACATGCTATGAGAAGGGCAAGAGGATGCGGAGGCCGTTTCTTAAACATGAAAAAGCTTGATAGTGATGCTTCTAACGCCACTTCTGACAAAGGCAATCACACTAGTTCCAATCTTCCATCACAATATCCCAACAACTCATCAAGTGACAGATCAATTCCCAATCGCATGTCCCAGAATGCCAATTCATCTGTTGGTCATCAAGAAGTAACAGAATCTGAACTTCACGGAACAAATGTGCAGCAGGCATGCTCCAACAGCAATGGCAATGGCTGCTATCCGCATCATCAAGGGTTTCATTTCTCTACCTCTCATTCACTTCCAGATAAAATGACGGAAGGAGACTGTCCAAGGCAGCAGCATGAGAGAATTGTGGCGAACGGGGTGCCTCACAGGGCCCTGACAATCAAATGAACCTTCCTATGGGGTGAAGTGTCTCTCTAACATTGCTTTTGACCTGAAATGTTATATATTACTATTAGTCTTTATATGTATTCTGGTGTTCTTTATCGTGGGCCCCATTGTTTCACCACTCCATGCTTTCCTGACATGTTGTGGATGTTTCTTAATCGCCTGCTAATGGACACTGTTAGAAGGTCGTGAAGCTGGAGTCATTTGATTCTAACCATATCCACCGGGAAGACCCCCAGAACCATGTGTTATATATGTTGACTGGCAATTCATTCTTGGCTTATCTTTGTTTATGTGCTATAGAGGTAGATTGGAAGAAGGGAAATGTGACTTTTGTAATTGGTATTTTCACTCTCAAAATTAACCCTTTGTCTTTTAATTTATAATAAAATAATAACAGTAGCATTGTGTGAAATGAATCCGAAGTCATTCTGTCTGTCTTCTGATGTCTTTCATTCCCTTTTAATTTTCCGTTGACTACTATAATGGAGGATGGTATTTTCAAATAATTTTATCTTCTTGCATGAAGAGATCATTCTTTACTTTTGTTGGTGATTATGTTTTTGTCATTTTGATTCGTTGGATGTTTTGAAGAAATTATAAGGGAGGAACTGCCCTCAAGCCATGGGGATTATGTTAATCTTGGTATGATCACAATTGTTGTTCATATTTCTGGTTGAAGATTGCCTGGAAGACAGATAGAGAGGCCCGACACGTGAGGGCCTGGCAACGATTTATCATGTGACTTTATCCATCGATTTTCAGCACCCCCAACGTACTACGGTACTGATCATGTGATCGTTTGTCAGCTAACACGCATTATAGGCTAACTTCAAGTAGGACCCGTCTTCAGTTCTTGATGCCCTTCGCCAGAGTGGAGGCTGGAAATTATTGTTGTTATTTTCTGTAGCAGAGCCAGGGTTACGAATGTCGGCCAACTTAAACAATTTTATCCAAATCTCAATCTATCCTGACCACTCTAACTGGTCGCTAGAAATTTTCTGGTTTCAGGGGTATATATAGCACAACAAAATAGTTTTTTTTTTTTTTACCAAGAAAATTATCTAATCCAAATGAATGATCTATGAAATAAAAAAATATTTTTTTGATATAAGATTTTGATTAACTTTAACTCATGCCTATAAATACCTGTAAAGCTGGATGTAATTTTTGTTTTATGATGTAGTATTTTAATTTGAAGGTTAAGGCCAAAACCTTCTCGTACGGGAAAATGGCCTTAGAAAAGGAAAGTATCTGCTTAAGTATGAAGGCGGCATATATCTATAGAAACTGAAAGAAACTTGCTCTGTCTGGTCTCATTTGTGGGCTCCCCCACCCCAGGCCCCATCTGCAAAAGTTTGGTAAAGATTTTCACTAATTTTAACTTATAGTCGCTCTGTCAACCGACTGGAAGAAACAAGCCACCCCCACTTCACCCACCCCCTAATCTGTCACATAGGTGGAGAAACACTAACCTTAAAAAATGAAACCCATTATTTTTATTTGTGCTCTAATGAGAAAAAAAAGAAATAAAATATGGGGTAGTGCTTTTTTTTTCCTCTACTGTAATAGCAAGGCAGCCAAAAATATTGTCTGAGTAACTTCTAGGACCAAAGGATCATGCCTAGTTGCCGACCTCTAACAGGGAATAGCTAAATAAGTCTCTATCGGGGCCTACACCTCAAAGCATGGCATTGCCAGCTGTTGAGACCATATTTGGTACCTTTCCTGGAATTTTCAAAGGATTCTGTGCCTAGTTGATTGTCTGCCAACTGAAAACTGCATTAACGGTCATGAATATCTCAATTGCAAAAGATTAAAAACAAAGCCCATTGGCTCTTCCCCTCCCTACTCTCTTTGTGTTTTTCTCTTCCATGCCATAAAAATGGAGGAAAAAACAGACTCCAGTGCCTAAATTAAGATCAAACAATAGAACCCATTCCCCTTTGGTTTTATTATGCTCTAAATCTAGTTGATGGTTTTATTATGTTCTCCTTAGTTTAGTTGACAAGTAGCTACACCATAAACTCTAATGAAAATAAGATTAGAAATATTCTATAGTAAAGAACACATTCATGGTCTTTCAAACAGATCAAAAGTATATATTCCAGGAAGAGGGAATATGCAGCATATGTAACCAAATGTCACTATGCTTTCAAAGACTTCCGAGATCATCAATTAGTTTCAATCTCACTGTTAAACTATTAATCTCATCACAATCATCATATTTTTCAATCTCGTCACTATTAACCAGACAAATATGCATTTTCTTTGGACACAGAAAAATTCATGATAAATAAAATAGGTTAATTCAATTGCCAAGGCCAATGCAAGATCTGAGGCTTAAGACAAAGATCTATTGTACATAATTTATATGAATGGCGTTTGCAAGATTGATCTTCAAGGACTCAAACCCAAAATCACTTTCTATTGAGACAAAGGAAATTAAGAATTGACCCAAAATCACTTTCTAATAATAGGTCATTCATTGTATACAAGCTTTCAATTGCCGCACAAATGATGAATTCTCTCTCATTGCCCATGTGGGAATAGTAATTGTTGAAATACTACATTTTGGTTCATAAATAAGCAAAGAATTGAGTGAAAAAGAAAATCCAACTCATGCAAATGATCTTTGAAGACAAGGAGAGCTTTATCATATATTGTTCCGCTCGAGTTATATGGAAAAGTTGAAAACCATGTTAATATCAATAGGGTTGCAGTCGTTAGCTCAGTTTGTGAGTCCCATTTAAGCTATCTGAAAATGAATCAATGGCATAGACGTTTAGTCCTCTTGTCCGTCCAGGAAATCCACCTTTAAGTGAGGACACATCCAGTACAATCCTGAATAAACCACCAATGCTTAGTCAAGAACCCAACTAAATCATGACCTTGCATTTATAAAATGAAAGAACAAAAATGAGAGGAAAGAGAACAATAACATACAACTTCTTTGATGCTTTTCCCAATTCTGGCGTCTCACAATTAATGAGGATCTTCTTATCCATTTTCGACACTGAATGGTTCAAAGGCAGATCAATCCCTTTGGGTGCTGGATGACAATTTAAATAAATTACTTTCCATTTGCATTAAAAAGAAATAGAGGAAATAGTAATCACAAGGTAACCTTCTTACATGGTTTATGATTTGTTGGTGCAGTTCCATCTAGCCCCAGGAGTTTCTATAACAAATTAAACTCATCAGACCAGGATCTGGAAAGGATGCAGATAACATGGTTCAAGGTAAAAGAGATGTCACCTTAAGATTATTGTAACACTCCTCAAGATTAGCATTATCTAATATATGATCAAAGATGTCGGAGGATTTTCCTTGCTCAATTTCTGCCTCAGCATTCCGGAGGCGCTTTAGGATTTGCTCCTCTGTTTCAGTCCCCCTATTTACAACATCCTAACTATGACCAGGCTAGGAAAATAGCATAATGATAAATATCAAATGGACAGTTCAGATTCACCTTGCACGGAGCCGCTTTTCAAGCTCCCTCATTGAAGGGGGACAGATAAAGATGAAAATGGCATCAAGAGACCTGGCCGTAATGGACCTTGCTCCTTGAACATCGATGTCAAGAATGCACCTCTATATTTTGAAATTAAGAGCGAAAAAGCAAATAAATAAATAAAATAAAAAACCTCAATTTTGCAGAGAGATAATTTTGAAGTAAAGAATGCTACACCCACATGAACCCTTGATATGCTTTACAAAATATACAACCGAAAATCCAAAAATCCATACTGCGCAATCCACTTCAATACCTACATGACATTATTTTTAAAGGTCCTTGAGTTTCCTGAATTATATGCAAGAGGCATTATATACCTTTGCTACTCCACTCACAACAATACGCATGAGATGATTACTTGATTAGTAATTCATTAATTGTAAAAAAAGAGGAGCTGATGTGACTATAGTTTCATGAGATCTGATATGCTATTTCATTCTTCCCTTCCGCTTAAGAAAATAAGCCAATGTCCTAATCTGATTCAATTATCTAAGGATTTAAACTACTGCTTTCACCAAAGGTTTCTCATGTGGCCTCCTCCAAGATGAAATTCCATTGATAGTTGCAATCATGAGTATCCTATGTGCAACTCCCAGAGCATCATTAGGTATTATAACCACTATTAATAGAAGTGTAAAAATCAGGACTGTTTACCTTTCCAGAGTCTGCTACTGCCTCAACCGCTTCAATACTGGTTCCATAGAGATTTCCATGAACAGAAGCAAACTCAAGGAATTTCCCATCCTTTATATCTTTCTCCATTACAGTTCGCTCAGTAAAGTGGTAATGAACTCCATTCTTTTCCATGCCCCTTGGTGCACGGGTTGTGTGGCTGACAGAGAATCCAAACATGGATGGAAATTCCTTCATAAGCATGTTTATTAATGTCCCCTTACCAACTCCAGAAGGACCACTGATAACAACTGGCTTCTCAGCATCACCTCTCACACCCTTACTCCAGGCAACAACTTCAGTCCCCAAAACTTTTTTCTGTTCCTTTACATACTTGGTGTCCACCTACCAATAATATTTGAACAAATCAAGCACTTTCGGGTATCAAAATGTTTAGATAATTTTTATGCAACTCAGAAGCACTGAGTTTTAGAAAGTACAAATGACACAAAGAAATGAAATAAGAGTATGTGAAGCTCATCCTCAATTAACCCTCAAAAGATCTTAAGTATTCAAAATACCAACCTCAAGAAACCAAATGCAGTCATCTGGGGTGGAACCCTTAATAATAATCATTATTCGATCTTCATTCAAAAGAATGGCCGAATGGCCTTTACATGGCTTTGGTTTAGCTCCTAGAACTGTAGGAATCACCCTGAAAATATTACCAGCAACAATTAACTTATAACTCTAATCTGAAACCCAGGAAAAAGACACAGACGTAGCTCGTTCTAGCCACAAACTAACCATTTCTCTTTAGATTTGTCATAAATCTGAACCCCAATAGATGATATGGAATCATTGTTTGCCCCACCAATCACGAACTGCCAAGAAAAGTCCACACAAATCCTCAATCAAAAAAGATGATTGAACATATTAACAAACAGATAACAAAGAGAGACAAAGAGAAGCACTTTATGACAAAAACCCCAAATTAGGCATTAAATTATCTCACTCTTTTGTCAGCAACATCTGTCAAGGTCCCAAAGCCTTTGGATTTTAAACCAAATCCATTTGAAAATCCATTTTGTGGATTGTCAACACAGAATGCTGGGGCTTCTCCCTGACGATCATAAACCAAAAACAAATCAAATCACAATAAAGCTACTACTTTTTATCCATATTGCCAAAAACTCATTGAGATTGCTAGTAAAGTTCCCCCTCTCTCTTTTTCTTCTTCTTTTTTTAATAGATTAAAAAAAAAAAATCAGCTTTCATCCAAATGAAGATTAAAAAAATGATGATTAATGGCTCACCATGGAGAACCAATGCCTCCTATACAAGATTTCCCCTGATCAATACACATGGAGAGATAAGAGATCAAATCAAAAGAACTCATACTTCATGAATCTATCAAACAATGTAAATCAAATGAAGGTAAAAGAGAAAAAGAGAATCAAATTTTGAGAGGTGTAACAACAAATTTTGACTCTCAAAACCAAAACCCAGATTCCAATCCAAAATTACAATGCAAAACATAAACATGTAAACAGGCATGAAAAAGCAACAAGAAAACAGAAAGCTATGAAATCAAGATTTAGCTGGTTTCTATGTCAAAATTCAAACAACCCACGTTTCAAAAACCAGGGAAAAAAGAGAAAGAATAAACTTTAACAAAAACCATCTATAACTTCATGTTTTGATGCAATTACAGAGCTAAAAAAACATAGAGAAAATAAGAAAGAAACAGAGTGGTTAGACCCCGAGTTCATACCTTTGATAAGAGAAAAAAAGTCTTTAAGAATGGGAAGAAAAAATTCAAAGTCCTTATATTGATTAGGCCGATGATATTTGCAAAAGGGTTAATTATTATAAAAGAAACTGAGGAAAAAAGGGTTCTGGTTCAGCTTTGTGATCTTTTTTAAGGCTCAAGTATTGGGATTTGGAAGTGAGGAGGCGTCAAATTAGAACAAACTCAGAAGGGTTAGAAAAAAGAGGGGAAGAAGGTCGTTTGAAGAAGAAATTGCTAGAAATCTTCACACCGATTCTATCTTTTATAGTTGGGAAGAGAAAGAGTGCTTTTTTTTTTTTTTTTTTTTTTTGTTCTTGGTCGCATTCAATTCACGAAAGTAAGAAGACTCGGCTAGCTCTAATTTTCTTGTGAGGTGCTTGTGAAAATTCACTTTTGTTTTTTTTAATATATATTTTTGTACTTTTTATTTTAAGGCTGTGGATTTTTGTGTTATTTTTTAATGGTTTCTTTTCTTGAAATCCGAGGTAAATTTAAGGAAAAAAATTAAAAAATTTTATTTGAAATAAAACTTTTTTAATTTCATAAATATAATTAATAAAATTAATTTTGTTAATTTAAAACATAATATAATGATAAGATATAAATAATATAAAAAAATATAAATGTAATATAATTTAAAATTATAATAATAATTATATATGTTTAATAAAATAAAAAATATATTTTATATTTTTATATTAACATAAATTATAATACATAATATTTGTATAAAATATAATATAAATATATAAATTTTAATATTTTATATAATATAAATACATTAATCATTAAATTTAAATGAAATTTTATTTTTATTTTTTAAATATATATATTAAAAATATTTTATTATTTTATTAATTTCATCTATAAAATTAAAAAATTTTACTATTAACGTATTTAATAAATTTTTTAAAAACAAATGTACAAAGCGCTGCTACCAAAAAAAACATATCAGGAGACTATAGGGTTTGGCTCATTAAATATAATTTAATTTTGGTCAACTACTGCATCTCTCTGTGTTTACTGTTCACCTGTGGGTCTAATATTATCATGAATTGTTATTCTATCATTCTTGTCATCTTATGGATCAATAGTAAAATTTGATCTTATTTATGAAATAATGGTAGATTTAATAATTAATATTTTTAATTTTATTTGTAAAATTTTAAATTTACTCTCTTAATTAAACTTATGAACGGTATAATTGTATACTATAATTTTAGACAATAATTTTAATATTTTAAATATATTGTTTAATCAAATTTAAATATGTTGATTGAGTTACATTAAAATTCAAATTTATACTATAGAAATGTTAACCCAACCTGATTCATAAATAACTATTATTATTGTATAAAATAATTTTTTTTAAAGTATTAAGATGGTAGGAAAAAAAATCATAGTTAATGCAACCGACTCGTTCAAGAAGATTACAAAATTTAAGGTTTCCTTGTGCAGGTTTAAATTATGTTTGAGTGGAACAAGGAAACGTCTAAGGAAATTCTAACGTATACGAATTAGGGAGGGCGATCTAACCTGTTTTCGATGGGTTTTGTCCCGACCCGACCCTATGAGGTCGATTTTTTTTTTTTAAATTCGAGTTTCGAGTAGAGTCGAATCGGATAAAGTTAGGAAACAATCAGGATCAGATCGGATTCGAATTTGCTTAAAACCCGACCCGATCAGATATGATATTATATAAAAAATTATTTTTTAATTATTTTTAATTTTTTATTTATATATATTTATATAATGATATTTTTAAATATTTATATTTAAAAAATAATATTTTATATTTTTAAAAAAATATTTTATTAATTTCAGATCGGATCGAGTACGATTTATTTAGTATCGGGATCGGGTTCATGTATGAAAAAACAAAAAAAAATTTGAATAAAATCTGATTCGGGTTTAATAAAACATAGAGTCGGGTCGGGTTCGAAACGAGCAAAACCCGCTCCGAACCCGACCCAATGCCAACCCTAATACGGATATACCCTTGTTTGGCAAGTTGATGATTGAAAATCTTATTCCGGAAATAAATACTCCTTGTGCACATGCATTAGTTGCAAACTCGTTTGGAATGGTTGGTTTTATATATATATATATATATATATATATATATATATATTTCATTCTAACCTCTAAACTAATGTATTGAACATTCCTAATCTTTTCTTAGAATTTTTTATTCAAATTAGAGGTATTCTTATTTTAAAAAAAATTAAAGTTAAAGTGTCCATAGATAAGTTAAATCACATTAAGTCGACACTTCTAAAAGTTTGTACAAATTCAACATGATTTCATTAAATATTTAATTAATCTAGTTATTATTTAAAATATTATTAAAATAAAAATTATTTTTATATTAATATTTTAAAATATATTTTAAAATTAAAATTAAATAAAAATAAATTTACTGATAGAATTCATATTATATTTATCAAGTCATTGTCCTTTATTCTATTAAAGATGGTCCAATCTAATTCTACATATCCATACTTGTTTGCATAGCAATCGTAGATGGAGGCGGCAAACTTGGAATGGAAGTTGTCAAACACAACATGGCAAATGAAAACATGCATGTGACAAGTACATAGTATTGGCCTCTTCCATTTGAAACGAAGCTCCAAATTTGACTTTTTCAAAATTGCTTCTTCTTATTGCCTTGTCTCTATGATACATTGTCACATCCCAATCAAAAAAGAAAGAACCTAAATTCACTTTTCACATATTTTTTACGAAAATTTAAAAATAAATAAATTATTCAACCTCTTATATTAAAATAAAATATATTGCATCCAATAATTTATAAAATAATTATTACAAATTATGTATAATAAAATATATTACATCCAATAATTTATAAAATAATTATTACAAATTATGTATTTCAAATGATTTTAATAAAAAAAATTATCAATTTGATCTATATCCAAAGTCATTTAGGCCGAGGAATAGATTTCAATCATATATTAATTTGATGTGTTTTATCTAGACTTTTTTAAGGTGCTTATCCAATCAAAGAGAAGTGAAAGAGTATCCAAAGGGCAGGGTAGATAGGGTTGTAGGGATGCTTTTCTTTTTCTCGTTGATGCAATTTCGATGAAAGAAAAATGCAGGAGTAGATTTGTGCAAAGGACTTGTGCTATAATATTTATTTATGCACTTATAATTTTATAATTTGATAGGGAGGGTCGTTGGACTATAAAGCAAAATTGTCAAAATCATCAAGACTATTTTGCAAAATCTAAGGACTTTATACTGTTGAATTGCCCGTTATTCACGGTGCCCTAATCATTCCCAATCATATTTTAGAAATTTATTTTGACAAAAAACCATTTAATTTTTTTGACCTTTACTCTTTTTTTTTTTTGGTGCTATGATGTAAATTACGTACGTGTGAGATATCGAGTCAAACCTTAACTTAATTAAGAATTAAAAAAAGTACTTGCATTTTGATGCGAGATTTATAATCGAAATAATTTTTTTTAAATTGATTAAATTAAAAAAAAATCTTACTAACATTATTGGATGTGAAACAAAATAAAAAATAATAAAAATAAATAACCAAATATTTGTTCTAACAAAATAAAGTGAAAAAACTTAATAAATTTTATGTTTACATGGAAATATAAGATTTTTATTGAAAAAAGCAAACAATTAAAATAAGATAAAATAAAATTGAGTTATAAAGATCGTGAAAAATGAAAGATTACACAAAAATAAAAAATGCATGATAATATTTATTTTTTAAAAATTTTATTATTATTATTATTATTATTTTCAGATAAAATCATAATAAAAATTCTTACGTTCAAGGCTTCAAGTAAACATTTTAAAATTGAAGTCTTTTTTCTTGTAATACTATTATTATAAAATTTACATGTAACATTCAAATATTGAATTTTTTAAAAAAGTTGAAACAAAATAGTTTATAGAATTTAATTTTGAAGGAAGATTCTTTTGACTAGTTCAAGTTCTATACGTAATGCGGAGTCTACATGCAAATGGTCCAATTACTTTTTTGTGGCCATCATGTTCATCATCGCAAGCAAACTTTTGAAGGGTTCCAAAAGAAAGAAAAACATACCCACATGCTTACATAATTTTTTTCTCCCTTGACATGAAATATTGAAGCCATTGAATTGCGGACAAAACATGTATCATTTTCAGTTGTATCGTAAGGGCTGAGGTCAACACTACAATCATTTCTTTAGATCGCTTTACCAATCAAATTCCTTGGCGTGTTTATTTGGAAAAACCCATGTTTGGCCTTTATTTTATAAGAGTAAGTTTTTTATCCATTATATGTAATTTTTAATTTCATAAATTGAATTACAAAATTGTTATATATTTTATTTTTTAGTATATTTCAAAATATGTATTATTTTATTAATTCTATTTTTGAAGTTTAAAAATTTTAGTGACAACCGGCTAAATAATATCTTTATTTTATAAATCCATCATTGTTTGAAAATTTTGAGCTCAAATTTTTTAAGGGAAAAATTGTAACTTGCGAGAGGGTAGTTTTGTAAGAGGAACCAACAAATTCTTTAAGATTAAGTTTAATACTTAAATAAAATTTTGAACTTTATTTCAAAATATAAATATGTTCTCAATTTTTTATTGTATGAAATTAAGATTATAAATTTTTATTTTATTGTAATTGAACTAATTAAATCTTAAAATTAGATAAATAATGTCCAATTGACAGAATTTTTAAAATAATATTTTTAAATATTTATTATTTAATTTATCCAAATAAATTTAAATAAATATTTTTTACAAATTAAATCATTCAATTAAAAAATTAAATATTTTATACTATTAAAGTTCTAATTATAATAAAATAAAAATTTATAATTTTAATTTCATGTAATAAAATATTAAAGATTTATTTACATTTTAGAGTGAAATTTGAAAATTTTTTTGAATATGATAATTTGAGACAATGATATGCACTCCATAGAGCAACTTGCCCATAAAGTAACTTCAGTGAATGGGAAAATAGTAAAAGTGCAATAATTTATCTTGTACTTTAATAACGATTTTAAATAGATA